CAGAAAAATAATAAAAAATCAAATGATATGTGATAATTTTGATGTACTGCTTACTTGGTTTGTGCATATTTCCGAATATGGTAATTAATGACAATATAGCCAGAAAATTAGAAGAAAAACAGAAACATAATGTACTATTATTGACAATATTGACATACTATGAACATAGTTTGTGCACATTTTCTGATATAGCAATTGATACAAATATAGCCAGAAAAATAAGAAAATGGACTGTTGTTGACAATATTGGGTATGTACATGGCCTGTGCATATTTGCTAATATAGTAATTAATACAAATGTAATTAGAAAAATAAGAAAAATCATGTGATGTAAATAGGTCTTGGTGTACTGTTTACTTGGTCTGTGCATATTTCCAAATATAGTCTATAATGAAAATATAGCCATAAAATTACAGGAAAAAGAGAAAAATAATGGACTATTGTCAGGAATATTGAGGTACCATCTACATGGTTTGTATGCATTTTGTAATATAGCAATTGATACAAATATAGTGTGAGTAGCAGCCACCGACGGCGCATTCAACTTGAAACTTAGTCGCCCCGCGGTAGCAGCCACCGACGGCGCATTCAACTTGAAACTTAGTCGCCCCGTCGGGGGAGCTCCCAACAACGTCCCCACCGCCGACGGCCCATCCAACTTCGATCTTACACACCCCATCGCAGGACTGCCCGACAGCGTTCCCACTCCTGACAGCATGTTCAACTTCACCCTCAAACGCCCTGTTAGGGACACTCCTGATGGCGTCTTCAACTTTTCACTTAAACGCCCCATCATGGCCCCCCCTAACAAGGCTGCCGACAGAGAAGCCAAGGAGGGCAGTCTAGATTCCGTTCCCTCCAATGCTGCGGCAGTCCCACAGAAACACTCCGACAAACCCTTCAACTTCAATTTGAGACGCCCTGTGGCTGCACCTCTTCCCATAACAGAGGCCCCTCCTGGAACAGCGTCCGAACCCATGGGTCTCAATAGCCCTCAAGGACAAGCCTCCGATCCCACGGCCAAGGCCTACGTGCCTTCAAGATTGAGCACCCACCCAAGGGTGGCAGACCACTACAGGGAGTTGGAGTGGCTTGATGAAAGGCTTTCATTCCCAAGATTTGAGGTGAGTTACCCTGTTGACTATTTATTCCTGCTAAGAAAAAAAAAGGACTCGACTAAGAAAGAAGAACTTGATGAGGTTATAGCTGAAGTGCAAAATCTTTCTTCCCGAGCCCGTGATTCTGCTCAGGCCTTGGAGTTCCTCCGCCAGGAAAAGATGCAGTTTTTGTTCGATGTGGAGGCCTTCTTGGAGGTAATGGGTGAGATAAGAGATGAGATGTATGCTGGTACCAAAGATTTCATGCTTAGTTTACAGGAGAGGTCTTAATTGTAAATTGTAGGTAAACTATGTAGCAAGCAGAGCAGTGCCCATCTTCAATTTTGGTGTGCCCCGCGGGAGGGTTTCCAGTGTCCCGTCAGTGGGGGTGCCGACGGTGCTGGAAGGTCAGGGTAATACAACCGGCCGCCCCAATATCAATGGATAATTGTTATTGACAGCCAGTCCGTTGTTATTGGGAAATTGTAGGGACCCCGGCCGCTTCGTTGCCAACGGAACAACGGCAATCAATCCGGCCGCCCCGGCTGACCCGTTCACTACGACTCATTGTCATGTCCGGCTGTTCCGTTGATATTGGACCCATGTGACTGAACTAACTAGCCATTCCAACACTGTGTGTGATGCACCAATATCTGATGAGGGGTACTGAACAAGACTTACTGCTGACGGCTTCCAAGATTAAGTCAAGATACGGATAGTCCAAAAGTCGTTGCACTCGTGCTCCTGGAGAAGGTAATCATACGGGATCCTGAAATACCCATCATCGCGCCACTTAGCACCCCATGAACGTTGAACTATAAAGTGGCCCTTGGAGTCATCGTACCCGACCGCCACGACCGCAAGGCCGATCGGCAAAAACTCATCCTCAGAGTTAGGAATCGCTTCCATAGACCCGTGAAGCCTAAGGCCAAACACAAACGGGTATCCCTCATTGAGACAGGCGCGCAGGAGCTTGAGATCGTGCTCAATCCTCAAGTACTGGATAGCCTCGTGTTTGAGAGCATTCCTGTAGGCCGAGGCAGGGGGCTTCGTAGCAGCCCGTGCACCATCGACGAAGATGCCGGTGCTCTCATCGTAAACGCCACATGGCTCATATGGCCAGTCCTCCTCAGAGCACACACCCTGGACTGCAATGCTCTTTAGCCCATCGCGCAAGCGAGCTCCGCTGTTTATCCTGACCCGGTCCCTTGATAGTGTCTCCCGTTCGTTGTACCAGATAAAGAGTCGGGAGGGGACGAAGGAGTCATAAACGTCTTGTTTGTGTTTCTTGAGCACCATGGCGAAAGCAGAAGCAATTGCATTGGCCGTGCAGCTTCCGACGACCGTGCCTTGGTCGAAAACGGGGCCAAAATATGGGCTGGTGCGTAGATCAACCAGGGGTTTCAAAAAGTTTTTTGCAAGAGGGACATAGAGGTAGTCACGGTTATCAAGGGAGTCAGGTATCCAACCAGCGGGAGGGATGCCAATGCCGTCGTCGTCGTTGGCTTTAGGGCGCTTGGTGGAAGGGTCATCGGGATCTGAAGGTACCCAATCAATGGGGTCCTCCTCCCAATCACTAAAGTCGTTTAACTGGCAAGGGTTTAACGTTAAACGGCCACAACGTAAGCAGTGACATGGCACTCACTATCCAGCCGTCCTCCAAAACAGCTGGGTGCATTGTGTTTGGTGTTCCAGTTCACTGGCAGACTCAAGGGAAGAAGGGAGGTTTATATAGCATTGGTAACGATCATTTTCGACTGCGCACTGCATTGATGACTCCCTCTATGACAGCACCAACCGCTGCGTCACCATGCTGACGATTCAGCTCCTCTAGGAGCTGAATCAAGAGGTGTCAGATCCAAACATAGATA